CAAATTCAGAACAGTTTTTGTGCCAGAGCTTGAAGCTTCCTCTACGTTTGGATAATTTTTTTCACACCAAGACCACCTCCGTTGCATTCTGTGAGCTTACTGTGCGAAGGCAGTGGTTTCTTTCCATTTTGCTGAGAGACCAGTAAGTACTTTCAAGTAAACAGATGGCTCACTCCTAACCTCGCCTCCAGCACTTGTATATAATCACTCCTTATCTGGAGTGGGATTGCTTCTGATTTAGAGTAACAGAGAGATGATAAGCATCAGGACCTCATTATAGCAGAAATTAGGCTTCTTTATTTTAATAAACTATTTCCTCATCACCGATTACCACCTGTGATCTAAGTCACTCAGCTTCTGTTACTACCCCAGGCCTTCTGCAGGTCGATCATCTTCAGCCGTGCCAAAGCTGTTGCCATTCTGTTGTATTTCCACACTCAGTGAAATTCTTTGGGGTCCACACGTGGTGTAGACATTCATTTGATTTTAAAAAGATTTTTAAAAAGCTTGCCTATTACCTTGCAAGTTCACCTTCTCTGGAAAACAACCAGAGAAAAAAAAGACTGTCATTTTTCCCAAAGAAATACAGAACAAGCTTTAAGCCCCTGATGCCCCATGCTTAAGGAACCCAGTACTTTTAATAAATAAATAAATAAATAAATAAATTCAGAGTTCCATTATAAAGCAGGTTAAAAATAATGAAACCATTGGGCCTTGATTTTCAGTGTATTTGCACAAAATAATTTTTTGACTCCCTCTCCAGCAGGAAGCTGGAGATTAAAAATTACCTAAATTACAAATTTAGGTAATTTTATTACCTAAAGCACGTTAACCCACAGCGTGGACAGGGAATTGGTTACAGCCCTGGGAGAGCAGCAACCTTCTTACAGGTGGTGTTCTGGACACTCTGTTGCATTAAAAGGGTAAGTTTAAAGGAAACACCTTTGCACAGTCTATATCACTCACCAGTTTCCTAAAAATCCCTGCTAATTACAATATAAACACTGACAGCCAGAAAGGCTCCATTTCCCCCTGGTTTCAGTGAGTGTAACAGCACGTATATCTATCTGGTTAAAGTCAAGCACCTGCGCTGAAGGCGTGTGGATATGCTGACCTGTAGCACGCTGCACGAGGAGTATGAGCTACGCTCAGTTTTATGGAACTGATGTATAGGGAGATGTAGCAGCAATGCACAACAGGTATCTTATAAACAACGAATACATTGCAGAAAAATGAGCGGCACCAGCAAATAGCTGTAAGCAACACGTACACACACGCACGGGCAGTAAGCTGCCCCAGCAAAACCCTCTGGAGTGCGTGCAGCCCAGCAGGACAGAGCCACAGGAACCCCACAGCAGGGCTGTTAGCAAGAGCTGGTTTGCAGCTTAGCAAGTCCTGACAAGCTACAGATTTCACTCCCTGCTGACCTTGGGGGGGAGCTTTGCCCTACCTGGATTCCAAGGCAGGATTACTCAGGGCTTTCTGTTACCAAGCTCCCAACACGCAGCCGAGGCAGAAGCAAGGTGGTGCCCAGCTGCGGTGGAGATCCCACGGCACTCCTCAGAACTGCTAGGCATTAGCTCTGATGCCTTGGCCAAAAGCCAAGTGTAGATACTAACTGCTTTGTCTAACTTCAATTTCCCCCAGTTTCAAGGATAGAGTAGATTAGCTTCATGCTTCACATTTTACATTGTTACGGTGTGTTCAGCTTCATTAGGCAGCCCTATCCTTTTCAGCTAGCAGAACAATGACTTTTACAGGGTGTGGGAGGGTTAACCAACAGTAGACATTAAGAAACCGCCACTCACCGTCACTATCACAACATAAATGCAGCTGTAGGAGCGCATTTATACACAAAATTTCCTATACGAATCTTAACATTGATATAATTGTCACAAGTAGTAACCAAATTCCTATCATCTGAAATAGCACGGGAAGTTATCGTACTCTACACACTCCCCCTCTACATTCACACTTGGACCTCCATCTTCTTTCTACAGCCCAGCAGAAGGGACCATTCCTAACACCGTAAGCCCTGGGCAGCAGTGTAGTGTAATGGAACAAGCGAGCAAGCCTGCCACAGAAAACAAAAATGGAAGACAAAGACAGAAAAAAATAAAGAACCCATTCATTCCTTGATTTCTTTACAGACAAAGGAGAGCAAGAGAAAAGCTCGTCTCCTCACTTTTATCCCTCAAAGTACATTGACCAATTCATCCAAGAAAACGCCAGAATTCCTGTAAGTCTTAGTGTTTGATTTTACTTGTCATATATAACAGTCATGGGACGAACGTCAGGGAGGTGTATGACTGCCCAGAAAAAGATCTAGCCAACCACAGAAATGTGGGTGTTCAGCAACTTTAAAACTCTAGATAGAGGGATAGGGGCATGGGGCAAGGCAAGCAGAGGCAATGCGTTATTTCTAATCATCTTGTCCTGAAGCGAATGGGAAGCTCATAGATCCCCATGGTCAGTCCACAGTGACAGACTGGTTTGATTAAAAGAAGTTCTGATAAGCTCCTAACTCGTGTTCTGCCAACACAATCAACACAGTGCTATTACATGGTGGATTTAAGGAGAACAGAGAAAACAGAGGTGACTCAGAGATTAATCCTAGAAGCAAAACATCCATGGCTACTGAAAATAAACAAAATACCAACACCAACCCCTAAAACTCCAGCAAAAACAGAAAAACTTAATCTTGCAAAAAAAAACTTTATACTATAGATAGGGAAGTAACATCTGAAGTAGCTGTTAAGTGTAGAAATTCCCTCTCATGAACAGAAGTGCTATTTGAGTAATGATGAGTTTTGGCCATTACATTGCAGTGCTACTCCGGTACATCTCCACGGGTAACTCAACTGATCTAACAGCTCACCACAGCAAAGCGGAGGAATCTTGCTCATCTCATTCAAGTACTTGACAAATATTGCAGTGCCCCAATGAAAAGCTTGTGAAAGCAAACCCTGACATTTCTTCCATGCATTGAAAATCAGATGGATAATATACTGTTCCTCCATTAAAGTCAGTAGTAATATACAACTGGGCAACAAAAAGATGCACGTAAATTCAAAGAAACTACACTGCTTCAATGCTACTACTTAATAACAGAAGCAGGAAGTTAATACAAAGCAATATTTACACCAGAATTTTTTTTGGACAATCTTTATGACTGCATACACTACCAGTTTCACTAAAATAAGCAAAGTACAGCTATAACTACAGCTTACTGTTTTAATACAGCAACATAGGATCAGTTAACAATCCACCCATGGATGACTTCTGAAAAGCTGGGAATACAGACTCCAGTGTTTGTCCAGGAAGAGGACTGTTATGTTTCATAGTTTAACCTTTGGTTCATCACAGCATGGCACTTAACAGAAAAGGTTAAATAGTATTTATTCAATAAAATAAGTGTGGGGAGAGAGAACAGAGAGCTTAACTGCATGATGAGCAGCAGGAGGGCTGTTCATATGTCCAGTACTGATGGACAAGAGAAGTTAATCACTCAAATATTAAGAAAAGATTTCAGTTTAAACAGTTTGAGACAGCTTGGTTGATTTTTAAACACAAATGGTGATTATTTGGTTTCATGCAAAGTTTCCTCCTCCTTTTGCTACTACTGATAAATACTCTGGCCTCATTGAAGAGGTTGGTTGATATTTAGAAATTATATTCTATGAACGTAAGTTCAAAGTAAGTTAGATAAGGAAAAAAACCAACATCCTAGAAACTACTGACCAACACTACAATCTTTGTATTCCAGAAGAAACCATAAAAATCTTTTGCATAGTAATTTTTGTTTTTACCTAATGATCTTACAAGTTTAGTATATTTGCATTATTCACCAAACCTGTGCGATGTACATTACTTGACATCTTTTAATTATTAATTTACTGGGTTTGAGTACCAACTTAGAGATGATACAGATACAAGATCACAGACTACATAGAAACAGAAGTGCACTCAAAAGGTTTCTCCCTCATGTCTCTGACAGAATCAGCAATACCCTCATTCCTGGCAAATATCTGTCCAACATATTCACCAAGCCTCCATCATGGAAATGCTAGAAGTTATCAAGTAAATGTGACCTATTATTCATTATATCCTTACTACGGGAATTTTTTTCTAATAATCAAACCCAAATTTCCCCTGCCAATTTCAATCCTTTACTTCTCATCTATTCTACTGCAGAGGTAAAGAATACACCTCTCTTTGGCGCTTCAGAGTATCTGGAGATTATGTCTGCTCCTCCCCCTCAGTCTTCTCTTTAGACTAAACAACCCAAATTCGTTCAAACTCCCCTCAGAGGTAAAATTGTAAAACCTCCCGAGAATAATTCACTGCTGCCCTCTGTTTCCAAATCATCCACTACTTTCCTGAAAAGCAGTGCAAAAATCTAAATGAAGTTTTCCAGCTGAGGCCTCACTAATACTGAGAGGGATAGAAGGGTCCTCTGTACTGTGTGCTGGCTGCATGCCTTCTTAGATGCGCATGTGAACTTTTCACAAGAGCACAAGAAAAAAGGTTTACAGTTTCCAGCTCCAGTCTCTAGCAATTTCAGTTTTAACACCTAAGTGTGGTTTGGGTCCAGTATCTGCTTCAGATGCTTACAGATCTCTGTAAGAAGAAGTGCTACCTATGAGCAACTGGATGCTTCTGCTAATCACTCCATACTTGAGTGCTGTTCTCACTGACGTGAATTATTTCTCCCATTTGTCTTACATGATGAAAATGCTCTAAACTTTAAGCAAGCTGTCACAGCTGTATTTGTGACCTACAACACACCATACACTTTCATTATATCTGTTTATAACACTCACCTGATTAACTATGATGGGACTCTTTTAAAAACATATATATTAATATGAAAACATACACACACAACAAAAGCTACATTATTCCCAGATCTTTATCTAGATTGCATCACTTCACACATCTTCCTCTGTTTTCAATGTTTACCTTTAAGTACACAATTTCCGAATATTTGTAATGCTTACCTTTCTGTGTTCAATTGAAGGCTGTGGGATGACAAACTGAAATCCCAGCACTGCTAGTGAACTGAGAAGTCTGAAAAAAAACAAATAGAGAAACAGAATACATCATTGCCACTAATCCAAACCACACACACCTATAACCCATTAAAGGGTTTGACGCTGCAAGGGCTTATTTACACATTTAAACAGCATTACTAAGCAAAGCAGACTCACTAAGCTGTGTGAAATGTTCTTATGACATTCTCCTCACTACACAGCAGGCAGAAACAGGTACACACGTTTATCTATAAAGCAAAAGTGCACCAAGTAGAATCCACTAACAGCATTTCATATAACATTATGTTTAAATTAAAATATTTTTCAAAGTGCATACTTTTACACCTCAGCATTTGGTGATTAAATTGACATATGCTCCACAATTTTTCTGAAGTGTTAGGTAAGAGTTCGACCATATGTGGACTGAGTCTGTTTCTACCTCTGGTTCCTCATTTTGCAGATGTACACTCCACCTCCAGCACACAGGAAACATGCAAAGAACCTCCATGATTCTGCAGAATGTAGGTTCTTCCCCAGCTGCCTAACACTTATGGAAATTGAATAACCTAATGGGCACGGAAGATGGAAAGTAGCGGACACAGCTCACCAGAGACTCAGGATAAGCAGCCAAGCATCACCCCAGTCCCCACATCTTCAATCTGAAAGGAGTCATAATGGGAAGCAAGCCCAAACAAACTTTGTTCTGTCAAGCCTCACCACCGTAATGACTCCTAAGAGCCCGTTACAAGTTTGGTTCAGTTAGCTCACTCTTTTGTTTGCTACAACTTGAATAGGGGACTGGTTTGCATCCTCCTAGAAAGCCCTTCATCAGAAAACCCAAAAAGGTAAGAAAAAGGGAAAATTAAGATATCTTTATTTCTACTGGGAGTTTGACTTCTCAGTTTACAAAGGGAATCTTTTGGACCCCCCATGAAGGTGAAAGCTGCTAATGATTTGCTGAATTTCAATGCAGAAATAAAACTGATGGATTTGGACACAAAATCCATCTGCAAACTAATGGACCAGACAAAATCCAGCTGTGCTTCCTACTCCCAGCCCCTTCCTCTGCTTACTATGCAGTAATCCTTTAAATATTTCACATTGTTTCAGGTATTTTCAGAGAAAAGATCAACTAAACTAAAACAGGTGGGGGTTTTTGTTTTTTGTTTTTTGTTTTTTTACAAAGCATTTGATTACTGCAAATAGATATATTCTTCTACTAGGGAGAATGTTTTTATTGAGTTTTCTATTTTCTCAATTTCTTGCTAACAAGAGGAACTGTTAGGTAAGCATTTACTGCACATGGCCTTTCATCACTTCATCACCATAGTCTATGCCCCTCTCAAAGCAAATAAAAACAAAAACTTTTAAATAAAATTAAAAATAATAATAATAATAAAAAGCAACAAACAAACATTCGTTACTGCCACAAATGTAGAAAAAAAAATGCAAAAACACTTTAAAGGTCCATTAGAGAGAAGTATTTTATTTTACACGGCTATCATTTGTGATAAAGCTAAATACAAAGGAGGCAGATGAAATTGGTGCCAGTGTAAGATGCTGCAAAGGAGCTACAGTAAGAGCCCAGACATGCAGTTCAGAGCAAAGCTCAAATCAGACAGTGGTGGAATGAAGGCAAATACATGACTGAAGAAACTGATTTGACAATCACACCCAAAATCAAAGGCAGAAACAGAAACAGAACTCAGACCTCCATTTGCAGTGATCTCCTAACTACTCTCAATGAAAACATGACAAATTTTAAAGTAGGCAGAGCTCAGCTTTTGACAGGCCCAGCCTACATCCTCTGCAAGTTATATTTAACATCCTTTTCAGAAACTTCCTATCCATTATCTACACTCCTTTATGGCTTCTACTCCCTATATTCCCCCAAAGCACCTGAAAGAAAGGTCAAAATTTGCATAAGAAAAAGAATGCCTTCATCCACAAGAAAAACAGTGGGTTTTTCTGATTAGTCAGAAGGACAAGAGACTTCCACGAATAAATTCTACTAGAATAATGCATAAGGTCGGTAGTTCTGAACTGATTGAGAACTGCAATCTTCAAAGCAAATCAGTTAAAGATTTCAGTTCTAAAATTCAAACTTTTAGTGTAAGGTCAGGAAAAGCTTGACACATTCTGTAACAAGGTTGCATTACAAGTGACAGCTGTACATATGTACTCAAGAACAATGAAGTTGGTTTTTAAGTTTACTTCTGCACTTGGGTCTCCCAGGAACACTGGCATAAACCTGTTGTTTCAAACACATGGCAAAACTGGCAGGAATACTTAAGCCAGCCTGAGGTAAGCCTCTAGCTTCAAATCAGTGTGTGTCAATTTAATTTTATAAACGTTATTGCTCTCAGTAGCCTTTATTTCTTTTTTTTTGTCAGCCATGCCAGACTAATATTAGGCCTTCCGAACTACAAAAACAGGCGTCTCCAATTTCAGCTTGCTTCAGGTATTCTTGCTTAGCACTAAAGCCAAAAAGAACAAGTGCTCCTCAAAATAAAGCAAAACTTTTCAAGGACACATGAACAAGGTTTACAGTATGTTGTTAAACTAATAACCATTTGGAGGATTTGTCTCCAAGCAGAATTTTACTTAAAGTCTGTAAAGGATTTTCTGGAGTTTCTGAGACTTCCAAAGAGTGGTCAGGCATTGGAAAGGGTTGCCTAGGGAGGTGGTTGAGGCACATCCCTGGGGGGATGTTTAAGGAAAGGCTGGATGTGATACGTAGGGACATGGTTTAGTGGGTGACATTTATAGTAGGGTGATGGTTGGACCCGATGATCTTGAAGGTCTCTTCCAACCTTAATGATCCTATGATTCCTATGATCTACAAATCGCTGATTGATGACTGTTTAATTCAGGTTTCTGAGTAAAGACCTTGCTGGTAAAGCCCATGCTTTCATGGTTATGATATTATTGGTAGCCAAGCAGCTAGTTTAAGGCAAAATCAGGAATCTATCCAAGTTGCACAACAGTAGCTCAAAGTGCAAACATGCCCACTTTCTTTTACTGACAATACCCAAAACCTGTTTAACTGAGGGGAAAAATGAAAGCTATAGTAGCTCCCTACTTTAGGAGTAGAAAAAAAAGGTTTGCTATCTAATTCCTCATTTGGAACACCTCCAACAATTCCTCTCCCACCGCAGTGAACAGTAGCTCTCAATGAATGAAGCAGATTTCTTTTATGGTTACTGCCCCTTATTAGTTGTACTTTTAAGAAAGGCTATCATGGCCAGGTGGATTGTCCAGTCAGGAGTGAAAGCATTTTAGCCATGTGATTAGCTGCATTTCAGCTCTTGTCCCATATTCCTGTCTTCCTCCCCAAGTGAAAGTCTGCAGGACAGCCCAAGTCTGGGACAGCTTTGGGGAGATATGTAGGGATAAGCCTTAGCAGGAAAGATAACGCAAATAGCATCAATAATAGGACACCCATTCTGATGGGGAAACTAGAGGGTGCCAGAATTCAAAGACTGATGTCTGAAATTCCCCATGAGGAACTTCAGATCAGAGGTGTAGCTGACAGTACCTCCATACAAACAGAGGAGTATGTGTACATGTGTGTGGTTCACTAGTCTGCAGCTCTCATTCCTAGCAGAGGTTCCTGTAGCATCACAGCAGCGTGTTTTCTCTCAATCTGCTTGCCCAGCTACAGAACTGGACAGACCAGCTTAATAAAAGGTTAGTGCTTCCCTGTCAGAAAAGCTGTTCAAAAGGTATTTCCCGTATTATCCCACTGTCAAGCTGTTTCTGGAATGCATAATACAAATCTTAGACTGAATTGCAGCACAAGTACTAAAACAAGCAATCACACTGCCTCATTAAAAAAAAAAAAAAATAGCTTTCCTATTAAATATTCTGTCACAATGACCAATGACACACAAATGATGCTCTAAGCAGAAACAAATAATGAGAACTTTCTCTTTTTACTAACACCAAGAAATACTTTGCCTAGGACACATGGACATTATTATTTTGTCTTTGGACATGACTTTTATTTATCCTCCTATTATCCAAATACATATAACACAAAAGCAAGAGTCCACTGAGTTAATATTTCCTGCAATCTGTTACAAACATATTAAATCAGATTTAAAATGTTTTGTTGCATTACTTACCTCAAAGAAACTATTAAACTGTCTACCATGATCCTTTAATGCAAAGTGTCTTGCAGGGAAAAATACGCTTCACTGTAGTAAAGCACAATGCAGATCAAACAGACCCTAAAGAAAGAAAAGAAAAACATTTAACACTGCTTATTCAGTATTTTTCGGGATGTCTAAAAAACTGGATACAGACCGGCGTTAAGTCATTTCTACCTGAGTTCAGGGACTTTACGACAATTCAAACTGTAAAACCAACAAATAGACTGGACACACCCCATTTGAGGTGACAAGAATTAAACAGTGCCAAAGTGCTTGGCTGAAAAAACGTGGAATGCCAAATCTTGATCTGATTCCCATGGGTGCAGAACTGATGTTTAATGTACTTGCCTTCCTATCTCACATCCCTGGTAAGTCAACTGTATGATGTTGAGCCTTTATTGCCACTATAATAGGGATTTTATTTATTTAATTGTGAATAGCTTTAAAGACTTCTATGAATAGAAAACACAGAAGTGAAGAATTTCTGTTGTATAGCAGTGTATTAACACACTGCGTTTTGTGAACAAAGCAAGGATCATTCTCTTCTGGGTCTTCAAGAAATCGGCAGAAGAAACAGGGAAGAGAAGAGTTGTTCCCTCTCACCGGACAGTGATCCCAGCCACATGCCTGGCCCGTAGTCACGCATGGTAGCTGGGGTTAAACAGCGTTCAGAACCCGAGTTCAACAGATCCTTATTTCGTTCTCAGTATTATCGTTGCTTCAGGATCATTGCAAAGGCAGAGTAGCCCTACCAGCCCTTGAAAGAGTTACTACCTCGATGCACTCTCATTTGTTTAGGAACTTTCTCAATTGTTCAGACACCTGGGAGTTCTTATTTTGGTAAAGCTTCAATTGTACATTTGACGCCTAAAATGTTGCACTTGAATTAGACAGGAAAGCAGGAAAGATCTCTGTAGTATGGAGATCCAATATAAACTGGGGGGAGATGGATTTGATGGAGGGAGTGGAAAGAGGAAATAAAACACTGTTAGGACTAAAGCATATCCATAAATTTAAGAACTTTGTAAACCACTGTCTGTATCTTGCCATTTACAAGCGGTTACATGTTGAAATGCTATGGAGTGCACAGAAACAAGAGAACATTGCTGTTCACAGATAAAAAGCTCTCAATTTCTGTCAGGCAGCCAGGTAATTAATACCTGCCTACAGAGGGAAAAGACATCGAGAACTTAAAAAAACGCACAGTTAGATAAACTACTCATCCTGTGCTAGAAAATGGGGATTGTTCAGAGGCAACTGGGCAAGCTGAATAAATAATAATAATAATAATAATAATAATAATAATAATAATAATAATAATAATAATAATAATAATAATTGTGGGTTTAAGAACTCACAAAATATTCCTAACAACTTGAAAAGACAATTCCTGTTATGGCCTCAGTTCACTTGTTTGCTTTTAAACAGAAGGCATTAACAATTGGGCACCTGGAGAAGCACCACGACAGAAGTCTCCCACCGACAGCTTAGCCGTGCAGAGGAAAGCTCTAGGACCCGGATAAACTCCATCTTTTCTTTCTGCAGTTCCATGCTTGTCAGTAGATCTACGAGGCTTTCTCACATTTATTCACCAGTTTCACTGCTTCATGTCATGCTTTCTTTGTTGTTGGTTTTTTGTTTGTTTTTAAGGAGATGTGGAGCACTTCAGAAAACAGATTTTGTCTGTACTAACGCTACACATGTAAATATTAAGTCCACACATACAGCACTAACACAAAGAATGAAGACATATCCCCTCAGAAACCATTTCTAACAGACGTTCTGAATTATGAAGGCAACAAAAGTCTCACTCCCTGCAACCTGCCTGACTGAAAATGGAGAACATGCTGGTAAGATGCATTGTCACCAAGGCTTCAAGTTCTCAGCATTCTGTGTGGTGGTTTTTTGTTTCTTTGTTTTGTTTTGTTTTGTTTTCCCCTCAGATGTACTCTCTTGTACTGTTTTTTCATTCTTCGAGAGTCTTTTTATCCCCCATCCTTGCATGGAGGGACACAATCCCAACAGCACATTGTTAGATGATACAAGCAGAAGAACTGTGCACCCTCCTAACCCACGCTGCAAATTACACTGATCTGAAAAGCAGAAAACCTATTGTTAGCAAACTAGCTTTGCTAAGAGGCTGGAAAACACAAACAACAACAACAACAACAACAACAACAAAAAAAAAAAAAAAAAAAAAAAAAAACACACAAAAACAAACCTTCAGTGTCTCTGGAGATTATTCTCAAAAAGAATGCCTAAAGTCTTGGCATAGTTTTACCATTTTTTTCAGTTCATCTGTATCTTTACTGTCCTTGGCAGTTTGCATTACAAACTCAAATTCCAGCAGCATTTCAATGCATTTTTCAAAGCACTTCTGACTGCAACTCATATGTGCATTTCTTTTGAAATAGCAATTTTTACACTGTGTGCTGCAAATGGTAAGCACCTAAGCAACTTAAGAGCTTGCTTTCAAAATGACTAAAGCGCATAAGTGTTTAGAGCATACTGAAAGCAATGTCATTTTGACATGGGTGGTTTTGATATGAAAATTTGCAAACATGGCAATTATGTTCCCTCCCAAAGATCCAGGGCAAAATGAATACCTGAAATGGCTAGACAGTTAACACTAGGATTGAATTTTGGCATGACAACTTTCAAAAGCCTGGTGAGGTGTAAAATGTGTTAGCTGATCCAATAAGTCAAGCTACCTTCCCACAAGAGGCTTAGAAGTACTATAGACCTACCTGGCAAAAAGACTTTGTAGTACCCATATTTATAGCAGAATAGACCACATCACCTCAACTGGAACAAACCACATTCCTGTAGTGGAGCAGAGTTAGCAAGACTTTCCCCACTGCATTAAAATATTTGACATTTCAACCATCTTCCCCATTTCACCCCACAGTGGGACAAAACTACATCTCTGAAACTCAAAAAGGGAAAAAAGCACAGCACCAGACAGGATAGGACAGAATTAACACCTCCTCTCCAGAGCACCCATGGCCTGACAATCCAAAGGGAGATGTGTCTCACTGCATGTAATAAAACTTGCATCAGGTCAGGGAAAATGAGATTGGCTAAATAGATCCTGATTCACGTTTCCTCCCTCCCCTTTTGCACTGCAGGTGAGCAATTCCAACCGCTACCAGGCTCATCAGTTATACTGTCAAGTGGTGAACTAATCATAACAATCTTTCCTTTTGATATTTACTGAGATTAACACTCTCAACACTACCCGCAGAGTGTCTTTAATCACCTCAGCCTCACCTACAGCCAGACACTGCCGCCCTTTGCCAGCAGGTCTCAGACAGGAGCCTAAGTGAAATTACAAAATGAAAACACTGATTTGTAATGGAGATGTCAAAAAAGAGGGAGAGATGGAGAACGGGAGTAACTTAAAACAAACAAACAAAAAAGGAATCTATTAGGCTCATAGGCAAGCTCAGAAGTTTGCTGAGACAGACACAACTAGATGTCTCAAAGCATTACATGATGCAATATACAGAATTATCAGGTCAGACACCTGTGACACTGTAAGAAAGTTAAGTAAAGAGGAAAGTCTACTGGGAAGTCAACAGTAAGATTTCCTCCTTGCCTAATTAACCAAAAAACACTTCTTCCAATGAGGTGGCTTGCAAGAAGCTAACGAATCAGTTACCTTAACCTCTTAAATACTGCAGGACTACTCGCATGCAATTTTTCCAGTGACTGTAGCCTTCGAGAATTGTAGGTGGATGGCACTCCACTTGCATGAATTGCAGCGTGATGTTAACATCAACCTACGCTTCTCGAGCCCTGCCAGGTGTATGCACCCACATTCATCTGGGCACTGACTACAACAGAAAATTTCTAGTAATAGCACCTGGACACACACGTACTGAACGCCCAGAGACCAACCATTCTAACCCAGCAGTGACGTGCGGTACTTCATGTGCAAACACACACAAACTCAGCGCAGTTCAGAGCTGCTCTGTCTGTGTAGCCTATTTTATCTTGTTGACTTAAATATATGGCAAGCCAAGTTAAATTTCCTTCAATGTTTATCTTCCTGGTTAGATTATATATCTTGCCAGCTACTGACAGCAGGAACTTGAAGTAGCTATGGAACTGCAGCATCATTCCAAAGTTGTATCTGCTGATGTGCAAAGCTCTGTTTTTATATTATTTAGGAAATAGTGTTAACAAATATTATTTAGAATTACTTAAATCAAAAAAGTATATGTACCTTTTAGGATTGCCTTTGAATCTGTTCCCTTGCACAACGGTAAAGCGTGGTGTATTTGTCAGTTTCGTTACTCACATCTAATAAATGATGTTAAATGAAGACCCTTTGGCTTGCATCCCAAAGTCTCTACATTCACAAGACCTGGATAAAGCACCTCACAGTGTACCAAATTTACCTAGCTCCATAATTTGTGTGTATACCCAACAGCTTGTACCGTAACTGATGACACCTACCAGCAGAGTTCTAATCTCTTGAAATATTCATTAATTACATTAAAAGATACAGTTGTCTCTGAAAGCTGCATGACAGACAGAGTCAGCGTTAGACCTGAGGGAAGGTTCTGATGCTCAAATGGAGCGTACATTTTTGTTAAATCAGAAACTGCAAGTTACTCCGCCTAACCCTGAAGGTACCTCTCTGTTTTAGTTTAAAAACTTTAAAGTTCTCCTCCTGGGTGTGTCCAGAACTACTGCTGTCCAAGAAAGCTCTGTGCCTGTCTCCAATCTATTCTTGATCAAGATCCAGACATTTTCATTCCTTTACCTAAAATCTCTCACACACACACACAAAAAAAACACAGTCCAGTAAACATGCTGCACAAGCAGAGGCACGACCAAGCCTCGTAAATTCACAGGTGCAACTGCCACTGGCCTTGGAGCGTGGGACAGGCCCTGCGCTGGCACAGGGGCACAGCCTGCCAGGAGCCGGGGTGAAGGTGCCAGCTGCTCCAGTCGTGCTGCGGCAATGGGGGAGATGCATGAGAGTCCCTGAGACAACAACCCCAAATAAAACACTAACCGTGAGGTTGAGGGCAGTCCTGGAGTAGTCTGAAATTTCAGTCCCATTTCTA